TCTCTCTTTTAACCCCGGCCCCGTGATCAGCTGATCACAGCCGATCACCGGCTGACAAATGAAGGACGTTATTGTACATTGACCAGAGAAATAGGCTAAATTTTGAACCTGGAACAGGAATGGGCATGGAGCTATCATTTAGTACAGTTTTTTATGTATAAAATCAGTCTAGCAGTACATTGAAACAGCAATGACCAAAAGGACGACAAGCTTTTATAAATTTTCTTCCATGAGGTTCTCTTTGTACCGAGTGTTGTGGCTGAAGGTTCAAGCTCTTTTTTGAGAAAGGTAAAGTCTGGGTGTGATCTTGTTGGATCTGCATCATTCATAAGAGTCACTAAGGTCCACTAAGTCTCCAAGCCTGCACACACGTCCGTTAATTGTGTTTCAAACAAACAAGCTTTATTCACCACATACACAATCATACAGAGTACAACATGCCATGAAATGTTTTGTGTCCGAGCTGCGGACAGGCTGCAGACATAGCCACGCTATTCCAGGGCTTGGTTTTTAGCATGGGGGGGTCTAGCCAGGACCCTTACTGAATACTGGGAGGGAATCAAACTTGTGACTCCCACTCCAAAGGTGTGTAGTCTTACCACTACAATAATAGCTGCCAATTATCAATTACAGTCCCTTTTGGTAGTTGATTTTGAAATTTCTCAAACAGCACAAGCTCACATGATCATGATAGATTTTAACTTTATTAGCCTTTGACATTTGTCTAAAAGCACCCTCTTGCAATCTCTACATAAGTTGGGGTGGCAGGTTTATTTCATATTCCTAAATTTTTACTTTTAAGATTCACGCACTGAAACCTATGCTTGCAGGACAGTGGATTTCACAATATAATTCAAACTGTCCTCAGTTGAAGAAGCTGTGCGTACTTGCATCTCCCACTATTTTGCAATCTAACAAGACAGACCACACACCCTTTGGGCTGTGTAGTGCACCTGATATGCACTGAATGCTATAAAACTCTAGGAACGCTGAAAAATATGTATTTGCATCAGGTTCTCAGGTTCCGTCTCACTTTAAAGCTTTCTTCTGGTTTAAAAAGACAGCTTGAGTGGTGGTGCAGTTTTGTGGAGGTGGTAGTAGTATTGGTATTGCTAAAATTACTCAGAGTGCTTTTTAGTTTATTCATGTGTTTCTATTCTAGGTTTTCTTAACTGTGTCAAATGGTGTCCTAACCACAGAAACTCCAACTGCAGAGGCCACTGTTCAAGGTGAGTTTCCAAGTCAAAGGTAAATTTATATATACACTGGTACCAAATTAACATTGGTTTGGGGTTTTTTCGTTTGTTATTTTTAATTATTGAATATTATTAGCTTGCTTTTTTCTCTTTGTTTCATTGTTTTTTGTTCCTGTGTCCCCAATAGAAGGATCAACACTGTACAGAAAATGCTAATATTTATATAATTATTTTGGATGAAAATTTGAGCAGTGGAAGACTAGTAAAAGCTAGGTGTAAGGTAAACTATATGCCAAGAGTGAACAAGACATTGATACACTGATCCATACCAGTACAGCGTCTACAGCAATTACATTGGAATATCATTCAAACTGGAGAAGTTTATTTGAATGGTAACAAAGAGAGGAAAGGTAGTCAGAACTAAGGGGATTGCACTTGTTGATCTGTGGGACCAGCACCTGAATACAGGAAGTTTGATCATATGAGTATTACTTCAGTGCAGAGCTTGGATGGAGCTAGTAGGTGAGGGGACTCCCCCAGTTCTAATTGCCTCTAATTTCTAAATACCCCAGTACCCCAGCTAAACTGAGAGCACTGAGTAGCCTTGCAGGCCCAGTATGTACCGGTCACAGCTGTTGCAGCAGCGCCCCTCTTGTTCAGTGTTCTTGGAATATGACTGGGTTTAGTTTAGTGGCCTGGAGTGTAAGACTCAAGGTTCTGAGTTCAATTTCTCTAGCCACACCTGATGGCCAGGGCTTTTCCCGTGGAGGCTAGCAGGCCTCAGACCAAAGAAGCTACATGGGTCCAACCACCACCATGGGGGGAGTATACTTGAATCCTCCACCCTCCAACAAGTTTTCTTTCCAGACATTGAGATTTTCTCCAATGAATGAGAAGTTGCTTCTCTATGCCTTTGGGTTGGGGAAAAGGTCCTGACTATCATTTGCCTGTGTGCCAAATGACACTTCAGAGTGCTCAGCCTTCTTGGGGTCATTTGTTGGAGTGCTGGGAAGTGTGCCATCTGGGGATTCCATTGTTCTACTCCATAACTCCACATGGGCAATGATAGCGGGACCTGGAGAGGTGTCATAGGGAGGAATAGGCTGTTATATCTTAATGGAGTTCTGTTACTGGACTTCAGTGTTAACGACAACATAACACCACGATTGAGGGTATTCATAAGTGTATGTGGCACCAGAACACTATGTAGAAGGTTGATGGTCAGTTTTGTAATCGTATTATCAGATCTGCAGCCATAAGTCTTGGACACTCATGTGTAGAGATGAGATGCGCCGCTAGTTGATCACCACCTGGTGATCAGTTGTGGCAGAAAATTCTGGACAGACCTCGTGAGGGTATGCTGCAGGCAGGGGCCATCTTCAATTCCCACTGTAATTCAATTCAATTCAATTTTATTCATATAGCGCCAAATCACAACAAAAGTCGCCTCAAGGCCTTCATAGATACAGAGAAAAACCCAACAATCATATGACCCCCTATGAGCAAGCACTTTGGCGACAGTGGGAAGGAAAAACTCCCTTTTAACAGGAAGAAACCTCCGGCAGAACCAGGCTCAGGGAGGGGCGGGGCCATCTGCTGTGACCGGTTGGGGTGAGAGAAGGAAGACAGGATAAAGACATGCTGTGGAAGAGAGACAGAGGTTAATAACAGATATGATTCAATGCAGAGAGGTCTGTTAACACATAGTGAGTGAGAAAGGTGACTGGAAAGGAAAAACTCAATGCATCATGGGAATCCCCGGCAGCCTACGTCTATTGCAGCATAACTAAGGGAGGATTCAGGGTCACCTGGTCCAGCCCTAACTATATGCTTTAGCAAAAAGGAAAGTTTTAAGCCTAATCTTAAAAGTAGAGATAGTGTCTGTCTCCGAATCCAAACTGGAAGCTGGTTCCACAGAAGAGGGGCCTGAAAACTGAAGGCTCTGCCTCCCATTCTACTTTTAAATACTCTAGGAACAACAAGTAGGCCTGCAGAGCGAGAGCGAAGTGCTCTAATAGGGTGATATGGTACTACAAGGTCATTAAGATAAGATGGGGCCTGATTATTTAAGACCTTGTATGTGAGGAGCAGGATTTTGAATTCTGGATTTAACAGGAAGCCAAAACAGGAGAAATCTGCTCTCTCTTTCTAGTCCCTGTCAGGACTCTTGCTGCAGCATTTTGGATTAGCTGAAGGCTTTTCAGTGAGTTTTTTGGACATCCTGATAATAATGAATTGCAGTAGTAAAGCCTGGAAGTAGCTGTAGAAGACACATGGCAGATCCTACCACATTGTCACACTTTCAAACACTTCTTTATTCTGTTGGCGTTTGTTTTACACTTGGCTGCAGCTTTTCACCTGCCAGCCACACATACACAATAACAACACTCAGGCCAAAGTTCACTCTTTTATGGAGAGAGGCGTGATGATCTCATGCAGCTCAGGTGTGTTTTCCTCCACCGCAGTGTGCCACGAACCACACCCCATCACACCTCAACTGCACTCTGAGGGAGGCTGGGAACAGTAAATCTGAGTGGATCATGTGCTGCATTTCTAAATTGGCAACAAGGGGCTGCGGCTTGTAGAACCTGTGGGACTCCAGAGGCAACTGACAGGTTGCAGGCTAAGCAAAGTACAGTTGTGGGTCTTATGTGGCTGATTCAAAAATGTAGGGGTGGAGTTCATTGAGACCATGGAAGAAGAACTTTTTCTTTTTCTAAATTTATATAAATTATTTGCTAAAACCAGAACACAATGTTGTGGTCTAATGGAATACATGTTTGGTGTTTGGAAGAATTGTTTCCAGTGCCTTCACAAAACACTTTTTTATGTTTAGAAAACAAATGGTAACACAACTCAAGTGCGGGACTCAGGCAAAACAACAAGGCAGAAGAAGTAGCTAAAGACTTAAAGATATTTACAAATAATTTAAACTGGGGTGAGTGACTAATTTGACTTAAACAAACACAAAACACATGAGTGATCTTTTACGTGGGCAAGAGTCCTGACTAAACACAAATATCAGATTAACTTGAGTGAGACACTGTGTCAAGAGATGTATTCTAAAACACTTCAACTGAGAATCAGAGAGGAGAAACACACAGTTTTACTTGCAGCAAGGACAGCCACAGATCACCTGCACGAGAGTGAGAGCTCAGGGACTCGTGCTCTGCCACTGCCCTGGTCTTTATTGATAAACATCAGTGGGTGTTGGTTCCTTACATTGGAATGTGGATGGAGAGCTGCACTGGTCCTTTTGAACAGTTGTTGATTGCACTGCTGACTCACACATTAAGGTCAATGAAGGTCAAATGAAGGGTTTTCATGTACTCAGCCTAAAGTGTGTCTGATCCTTCCACTGTCTAGGTGGTAATTATCTGTTATGTTCTACAAAGGTTGCTGGCTCTCCATTATTCCTGTCAGTAACACATTAAACTAGCCGTTATTACTCTTTTTTTAGATTTTTATAATTTTTTTCCTGTAACATGTGTAAAATAAAAATTGTAATCTCAAAAGACTGAATTCATAAAAGAGTAATGTGATAAAATTTAGAAGACAAAGACATATACATGTGTTCTTTTTCTTACAAGGTATCTTGACACTTTTTTAAAAGCACTACCCTGCAACCCTACCCCTTTTTATTACATCTTTTTATATTATGATGGTTTTCCCTTGGACTTGCCTCCATAGCTCCATACAATTTTAGTCATCGTGTCTCCTCAATCAGCGTAGTACGACAGTCACTGGTCCCCTCGTGTCCCTGATTTCTTTTTCTTCTTTTATAAATGGTAAAAGAAGAAAAATGAATCTTATTTGGTAAAGTTCAGGGCTTCATATTGTTGTTGTCAATTATCAGTAACTAATTAATTTTGGCTGGGCTAGCGTGGTAGTTAACACTGTTGCCTCACAGCAAGAAGGGCCTGAATTCATCTTCACCATCTACTGTATATTTGTGTGGAGTGTGCATGCTCTCTCTGTGTTTGCACTGGTTCTCTTGTCTACTCTGGCTTCCTCCCAGAATCCAAACACATGCAGTGGTTGAGGTTAGGTTAGTTGGTTATTCTTAACTGCCTGTGAATGTGAGTGTCAATGGTTGTCTGTATGTGTTAGACCTGCGACGGACTGGCGACCCACCCCGACCTCCCAATAAGGATAAGCGCAAGAGAATGGATGGGCGAATAATTTAATTAGGAAAGACACTTTCCTAATTAGCCAGAATAAATTACTCTGAATTAAAGACTACTCCTATTATATTATAATCCCTTTCTGAGAAATGACGAGCAGTATTATATTACTTTAAAATTGTCTGGTTTTAATTCACAGGTTCTGGAGAGACGAAACTGATTATTGAGTCTAGCAGCCTGTTGGTCCTCAATGACCTGCTGGCCAAAGTGTCCTATACCAGCACCATCTACCACATAAACACTGGAGACCTTGGTATGTGTCAGAAATGTGAAGAGCTATAAACACCCATTTTTAAATGACAATTGAATTTGCAAAATAATGTGCATTTTACACATGATCATTAATGCATGTTTAAAATAACTGTGAAAGAAAAAGTGAGTCCCCCTTGTTCTGAACCTAAACATTTTTTTTTTTGTTTAGTCACCTTCCAGTTTGAAAACTATGAAGCCGTGTTTCCCATTACCATCCAGCAGCCTCATGTACCAGTCCTGTATGACATGGGAACAGGTAGAAGTGAATTCTTGATCAGGGCTTAATATTCATTTAAATATTGTTGGAAAATGCTTCTTTAATATATTAATTGCATGCTGTTAAGAGCATTAACACCATCCAAAGAACATTATGTTGATGCAAAATCATTATTTCCTTCAGTTACTGTCATTTTCTCATTATCTTACCTTTCTCAGAAAAACAATCTTAAGCCTCTTCTTCTTCACTCCTAGATGTTTCCACATTAGGAAGTATCTTAAACACTATGCTTTGTTAAAAACTAGTAACTGATTAGTTAATAAATATCACCAAGAAGACACAATAGTATAATATAGTTTGAGCAATCTTCTGGATATGGGTATCCTATACCAAGCCTATATCATAACTCCATTCTTAAAGTGAGGTGTTTGCAGACATCATAGCATGGTGTGGTAGAACTATTTCGACCAGCTGACATGGGTCTTTGTCAAGATTTTCAATCAGTCCCTATCATATCCCACCAACTCACCCTGCCTGAAATCCATCATAGTCCATCTGCATAAAAAAAAAAAAAACTTGCCTCAATGTCTACCAGCCATCAACACTGACTAAACTCCACTGGTTATGAAGTGGTTCAAGAAATTGGTCCAGAGTAATATTATGTCATTCATTTCCTTCACGTTTGATGCACACACATTTTCTTACAGGGCAAATAAGTACACCGAGGACTGTAGCACTTGCATTTTCACTGTCACTGCATTGTCATATCTGAAGAAGCAGATAAGCATGGATGCATGGCTGCTCTTCATCAACTTTAGCTCTGCTTCTAATAACACCACCCTCTGTCACCAACTATTATTTAAACTGCATGCTGTTGGATAAAACACTTTTTGATGAATCATACTCAGAGGGTTATATATGATCCCCTCCTCTCCACCCATGGTTACACGCCCATTCACCATAGTAACACCATTGTTAAGTTCACTGACGACACCATGGTGGTGGAACTTGTGTTTGGCAGTGTTGTACAGAGACAACCTGTTTCTTAATCCAACAAAGACAAAGGAACTCTTTGTCTTTGTTGGATTTTAGGAAGAATGAAAAGGTAACTCAGACATTACTCATTAACAGGGACTTGGAAAGTGTTTCAGACTTTTGTGGACTAACACATTAGCCTGTCCTCATCAACACAGTAGTGAAGAAAGCCCAACAGAGATTGCTCATGAAAAAATCCACTGATGCAATATTTTCAACACAGGGATTGGTCTCAATATTTGCTAAATGTCTATTGTTTTATTAGGCTTATCTTTTATATTTCTTTGTATTCATTTAGTTTACACTTTATTTATATCCTTCCTATCACAATAAAGTGCTGTGATGTGTACCTAAATTTTGCCGGAGTGGATAACAACTTACAGCACAGACTAAGTTTAAGTTTAAGAGGGCTTGCAGTTACAATATTCCTGTGACATACATTTAATTTCAGTTTCAGTTTTATTTGTCATATGCAAGTTAGCACAGGGTCAACATTGCAATGAAATGTATTTGACGAGCAGTAGACAGTCACTCAGCAGTATAGTAAGTCAAATATAGTAAGAGCAAAATGTTTATAAGATATAGTAAAAAGATAAAGATACATGTATATACATGTGTGTGTGTGTATATATATGTGTGTATATATATATGTGTGTATATATATATATATATATATATGTGTGTGTGTGTGTGTATGTATATATATATATATACAGTGGGGCAAAAAAGTATTTAGTCAGCCACCGATTGTGCAAGTTCCCCCACTTAAAATGATGACAGAGGTCAGTAATTTGCACCAGAGGTACACTTCAACTGTGAGAGACAGAATGTGAAAAAAAAATCCATGAATCCACATGGTAGGATTTGTAAAGAATTTATTCGTAAATCAGGGTGGAAAATAAGTATTTGGTCACCTCAAACAAGGAAAATCTCTGGCTCTCACAGACCTGTAACGTCTTCTGTAAGAAGCTTTTCTGTCCCCCACTCGTTACCTGTATGAATGGCACCTGTTTGAACTCATCATCTGTATAAAAGACACCTGTCCACAGCCTCAAACAGTCAGACTCCAAACTCCGCCATGGCCAAGACCAAAGAGCTTTCGAAGGACACCAGGAAAAGTATTGTAGACCTGCACCAGACTGGGAAGAGTGAATCTACAATAGGCAAGCAGCTTGGTGTGAAAAAATCAACTGTGGGAGCAATCATCAGAAAATGGAAGACATACAAGACCACTGATAATCTCCCTCGATCTGGGGCTCCACGCAAGATCTCATCCCGTGGGGTCAAAATGATCATGAGAACGGTGAGCAAAGATCCCAGAACCACACGGGGGGACCTGGTGAATGACCTGCAGAGAGCTGGGACCAAAGTAACAAAGGTCACCATCAGTAACACACTACAACGGCAGGGAATCAAATCCCGCAGTGCCAGACGTGTTCCGCTGCTGAAGCCAGTGCATGTCCAGGCCCGTCTGAAGTTTGCCAGAGAGCACATGGATGATACAGCAGAGGATTGGGAGAATGTCATGTGGTCAGATGAAACCAAAGTAGAACTTTTTGGTATAAACTCAACTCGTCGTGTTTGGAGGAAGAAGAATACTGAGTTGCATCCCAAGAACACCATACCTACTGTGAAGCATGGGGGTGGAAACATCATGCTATGGGGCTGTTTTTCTGCCAAGGGGACAGGACGACTGATCCGTGTTAAGGACAGAATGAATGGGGCCATGTATCGTGAGATTTTGAGCCAAAACCTCCTTCCATCAGTGAGAACTTTGAAGATGAAACGAGGCTGGGTCTTCCAACATGACAATGATCCAAAACACACCGCCCGGGCAACAAAGGAGTGGCTCCGTAAGAAGCATTTGAAAGTCCTGGAGTGGCCTAGCCAGTCTCCAGACCTCAACCCCATAGAAAATCTGTGGCGGGAGTTGAAAGTCCGTGTTGCTCGGCGACAGCCCCAAAACATCACTGCTCTCGAGAAGATCTGCATGGAGGAATGGGCCAAAATACCAGCTACTGTGTGTGCAAACCTGGTAAAGACCTATAGTAACGTTTGACCTCTGTTATTGCCAACAAAGGTTATGTTACAAAGTATTGAGTTGTATTTTTGTTATTGACCAAATACTTATTTTCCACCCTGATTTACGAATAAATTCTTTACAAATCCTACCATGTGGATTCATGGATTTTTTTTTCACATTCTGTCTCTCACAGTTGAAGTGTACCTCTGGTGCAAATTACTGACCTCTGTCATCATTTTAAGTGGGGGAACTTGCACAATCGGTGGCTGACTAAATACTTTTTTGCCCACACTGTATATATATATATAAATACAATGACCGCACACAAGACAAGTGTTTTTCATTAAAGAAAATCAGCCTTACACACATCACACATATATATATATATTATATATATATATATATATATAATATATATATATATATATACACCCACACACACACTTGTGAATAGATAAAGGAAATGTTAAATAGGAATGTGACCATTGACATGTAAAAATCGAAATCTGCTACAATAGTAACAACATTTACAAAAATAACCTTACATTTGTTGTATAAGACAAAAAATCATAAACTTTAAGCGACAAGTTTACTGAGGTCATAAATCAAGTGAGCATAAGGGTAATGTTTCGAGACTTCAAAACATTGTAGGATTTTTATTTATTTATTTTTTTAATTACTAACCAGAGAATGCAATATGCTGCATTTAATACTGCATTTACTCTTCCAACCCACTGTCTTTCTTTCATTTAAAGTTTTTGCTGTGTCTTTTCTCAAATTGCTCTGAGAATTTTCTGAAATCACTTCCAAACTGGGAACTGGGACTTTCTTGCTAGAAATTTCTCGAAGCTCACTCAGAGTATGCTGAGAATCTTTCTAATCTGATATCTGTATTGTGACCCCATTCCTAGCAGGCTCCAGAAAGACTCTAAAACATATGTGAAATAATTCATTTATTTCATAATAACAGGCAGATTTTATATCTTTATATCTAACTTATTTTTCATCCTCACACATGCTTTTCCAGAATTATAAAAAAAAATACATTTATTAGTATTTCCTTTGGTTGAATGACTCAGAAATTTAATGCTACTCTGCCATATTAACAGTTCATCTTTTCTTAAAATTATTCTCTGTATACTTCTGTCTGTTAGATATCAGCTCTCAAGTAACCATCATCACAAAGACCTTTCTGCGTTACAAACAACTGAGGGTGTTGTTGGACAGCATCCGGAAATTCTATAGTGACATTAAAGTGATTATTGCAGATGACAGTTTACAACCAGAAAACGTTACTGGAGAAAACATCCAGCATTACATCATGCCTCCAGCACAGGTATGCACACACATTCATTTCAGAATTATGAGTTTTTAGCAATATTTTGGACTCAAATTATATTTATAGAATATAAGACATGCAAATGTCAATTCAGTTCTTGGAAGACTTATCAAGTACAATTCCAGTCAAACCAGGTAAATCTCGGGGTCCCATTCCAATTTATAAATTTGAACAGAGGATGTTTCTTTCTTCTTCTCAGGGCTGGTTTGCAGGCAGAAATCTAGCTGTTTCCCAGGTAACAACCAAGTACTTTCTGTGGGTGGATGATGACTTTTTGTTTTCAGAGAAGACAAAGATAGAGAAGCTTGTGGAGGTGATGGAGGCGGTCCCTGAACTAGATGTGGTAAGAATGAAATAGCTTGTGTTGGTTCAGTTTGTAACAGTTTTTTTTCTTTAGCTCAATCATGTGTAACTTGGACCTACAAGTCTTAAGTTTTCTTGATAAGAGAAGACATCAATTGTTGGGTCTGTGTTTCCACAAGCCCCGCTGGTTTAGAGACTTATTCATCATGAAGAAAACAAGACAGTCAGCGATGGTCTCTGGAATCCCATGTTCCGGGATGATATTCTTATATATTGCTTTGGCCACCAAAATGGCATCTGCTTTCCTAGTTGGGACGATTTCTACCCACTTTGAAAAAGGGCACGCTATTACTACACAGTACTTATAGTTATTACAGTTGGACAGCTCTATACAGTCCATGTGAATAACTTGAAATGGGTGACTGGGTCTGGGGAATTTCCCTCTCTTCAGTCTCAAATTACCCCGAGAATTGTGCTTGCAACATATCATACATGACCTGCAAATTTTTTTTTTTTTAAGTATTAAATCCTAGAGTATAAAGATGTTGCTCTACTGCTCCCATCATCTCCCTGCTGTTGTGAAATGGCACGGCCCATGGCTCAAAATAGCAGCAGTCTTATACAAATTCTTAGGCGGTATTGGTTTATCGCACAGATAATAAACACCATCCTGCAAGCTCGCTCTTTCTGTAAGTCACAACCGTTTTCCTGCTGTAGGTGAGTGGGCCTGCATGTCTGCTGATGTTGTACTGCTAAAATGTTAACACCATGTTCAACTAAAGCTGCCTCTTTTGCGATCTTATCTGCAAAAACCTTCCCTAATGCAACTGGATCTTTCCCTCACATGTGTGCTGCACATTTACAAGCGGCAATTCCACTGGTTAATAACACTGCCTCCAGCAGATTTTGCAAGAGTTTGGCGTGTTCTACAGGCTTCCCTGTAGACGTTGCCACACCTCGTCTCACTCACTGCACTACAAAGAAATGTAATGTAGCAAATGCATACTGCCTATCAGTGTATATTGTCTCTCTGCAGCTTTACACGCTTCTGTTAAAGCTAGCATCTCTGCTGCTCAAGCAAATATGAAACATGTTAGTTGTCCTGCACAGATAACTTTCTCACTGTCTGCTACAGTAAAACCTGTCTTAGCCTGTCCCTCTACTGTCGTAAGACTCAAATCATCAACAAACCAAACCTTTCCCTCAACGAGTGCCACAGCTATTGAGTCATCCCTTGGCTTACACTCCTTCTCCAAGTGCTCTCTACACTCATGAGAAGTGCCCTCTTCTTTCGTTGGCAAAAGGGTTGATGGAGTCAGAATTGTGCACCATTTTATGGTAATATGTGTGGTTGTGAGAGTAAGAGTGACATTAAAGACAAGTGTCTTGTAGGTGACAGAAATGTAAATTTAGTCTGCAGACGATGTAAGGCAGAGCACGTCGTACACCTTAGTTGTCTTCCTCAACGTCAGCGTCGAAACTCTTCCACTCCTTATGGTTGTTTGCTGTGCAAAGACTCCTCCCGATGATCTCCTGAAAGCCCAGTAGCACAGCTCTCTGTGCGATGTCTTCTGTGCTGTCTCTGATCCTCCTGAAGCCTCTCTCCTGGCCTCAGCTCCGATCTTGTGGACAATCCCCTCACCCACTCCTTCTCGTCCTCACGACATCTACAAATTAAAAAAAAAAATGACACTCCTCTCGCCACACGGCTTTCACCACGTGTCAACTCCCCAATGAGACATGTACAGTGGGGCAAAAAAGTATTTAGTCAGCCACCGATTGTGCAAGTTCCCCCACCTAAAATGATGACAGAGGTCAGTAATTTGCACCAGAGGT